TCCCAGTACCCCCAGACCCAGCACCACCAGGCTCAGCACGCTCAGGCTCAGTACCTCGCGCAGGACCAGAGTCGACAGCTACCTCGACAGGCTCGACCGGGTCTACCTGGGAAACACCTGAGGGAGCAGGACCCTGGGGAGGCAGGGGGTCTACCGAAGCAGCACCTGGCGTGAGGAAGAGCGGCCAAGGGGGGAGTGGGGCAGTGCGGTAGGGGAAGAGACGGTAGAAGGGGACCGACTCGTCAAACGTGACGTCCTGAGAGGGGAAGACACAGCGCGAGGTGGGGTGGTAAAACTGCCAGCCAGGCGCGTCAGGGACAAAGCCCATGAAGACACAAGGAACGGCGCGGGAGCAGAGCTTGTCCGCGGACGTATCCCGGACAAAGGCACGAGATCCCCAGATCCGGAACACAGACGCATCGCCAACCTCTCCCGTCCAACACAGTGTCGGCGAGGTCTCCGGAACGGAGACACGGGGCCAAAGGTTGAGCTGATGCGCGGCGTACCGGACCGCAAACGGCCACAGAAAATGGGGGGCAGCCGCATAGATCAAGGAGGTACAAGCGACCTCCATGACCAAGCCAATGCGGCGCTCAGCAACCCCATTCTGCTGCGGAGAGGCCGGAAGCGTGAACTTCTACTCAATGCCCTCCCCCTAACAGAAAGCTCTCAAGAGGCCGGAAGAAAACTCACCACCTCTGTCAGAGTGTAGTCGCAGGACGGGAAGGTCCGTGCGAAAGCGCCTCTCCAGCTAGAGACGGGTAGCGCGGATCCAAGGGATCAAGACATCAGGGACCTCTCCCTTGGTGTGCAAGGGGAAGACTGTGGTGTAACGCGTGTAGTCCTCAACTACCAGCAGGAAGTAGCGCTCTCCGCCCTGTCCATGGACGCGGGCTAGGCCCCACACGTCCATGTGAAGGGTCTGAAGAGGAGCCTCCGTCGGGGGGAACTCAGAGGAGTGAGGGGTGGCACGCTGCCGCCCCTCGACACAGGGAAGGCAGGGGACGGTGGCAGGGGAGACAGTGACCTGGGGAGACCAGAGACAAGGAAACGGGAGTGCATGCCACGAAGGCGCTGCATCGAAGGGTGACCAAGGCGGTGGTGCCAGAGGACCGTCCGGTGCGACAGGGTGCGACACGAGCAGGGGGCGGACAACTGACCTGACGCAGACGCAGACGCAGCTACCTGAGGGGACTCTGTGGTCAATGTGTACAGGTCCGACCCCGGCTGCCGGGTGAAGGTAGCCAGGTGACGACCCGTCTGAGCACACGTGCAGTGTGTCACACGCTCGTAGGCAGGGGTGAACTGGTGAACACCCGCGTCCTGGAGCGCGGAACCCGCCACCAAGTTCGTAGAGAACGAGGGGAGGTAAAGACCCGACAGTGTGCCGGACGGGACAGCTGGACAAGGGAGGGCAGTGGTGGAGGTCGCAAGGACCGGACCCCCGGAGGGGTCAGCCAAGGAGACAGCAACAGGCCTAGGGAGCTGCCCTAGGGCAGTGCGGTCGCGAAAGAAACAGCGGGAAGCACCTGAGTCCAGTGTGAAGGTGTGCAGTGCCTCAGTAGACGTAGTACCTGAAGGCGCAGACTCACGAGCACCTGAAGCAGCAGACACACCAGCACCTAGAGCAGCAGCCTCACCAGGACCTGGGGCAGCAGACGCACTAGCACCTAGAGCGGCAGCCTCACTGGCCTCAATGCCTGGGTCTGGCAGGACACACAAGTAACAGTCACCCTCAATACTAATAGTCAATGCATACATGGCTCCAAAGATAACATCAAAGTCAAGAGCAAAGATATCAATGTTCTTTTTAAGCAGATCAGCCCAGCGGGGCAGCTCAGAGGCGTCAGGGAACTGTGCACGCCAGGCGTCGTCGAGACGGGAGAAGCAGTGCTGCGGCATGTGGGACCTCCCACACGTCTGACCAGCGCGGTCACCTGTGCGGATGACATACGTGCAGGTACCTCCACCCCCAGACCCCCCATGCTGAGAGTACCACTCACGAAGCTACTGGGGCGACGGGGTCTCTCCGAGACGCTGCTGCTGCCGCTGGACACCACCCGAAGCTCCACGCTGCGCTGGTCCACCCCGACCACCACCCTAGCCGCCGCCACCACGCCCACTGCCGCCACCACCACCGCCTCCACCCCGGCCTCCTCCACCACCACTGCCGCCACCACCCCCGCCGCTGCCACTGACCCCCCCAGCCCCGCCACCACCCCCACCACCGCCACCACCCCCACCGCCCCCACCGCCTCCACCTCCACCTCCACCTCCCCCGCTGTCACCGCCACCACCCTTGCCCCCCTTGCCCCTGCCGCCCTTGCGCCTCCCACTAGGAGCAGATGCAGCCCCGACTTCCTCAGCACCAAGGTAGTCGACAGCGGCAGCAAAGGCAACCGAGGGGAGAAGGGGGGGAGGGGAACACCCGTCAAAGAAGGGCGTGCGGGGGTCGCCACAAGAGGCACCTACAGCAACTATGCTAGCCTCAGCTGCAAGCAGATGCTTCTTGAGCAGGTCAACGGTGAGCTCGGTGGGGCAGAGGGCGAGAAAGTGGTCCCTGACTGCGCGAAGAGAGTCAGGGAGACGGGTGACTAGGTGGTAGAGAACGAGGTACATCGGGGGCGGATTCTTGGCGAGGAACTCAGCAGGAAGGGCGGCTCGGTAGCGAGTGTCACTAGTGCGGAGGTGTGTAATGAGGTCAGCGACTGTGGGAAAGGCGGCCAAATCGGGGAAGAGATAGGGCAGCGAGAGACGGCCGATCGTAGCAGAGGCAGGCGAGGAGTAGCGCGCGACTACTGCATCGTACAGTGCCTTAGCAGTCTTGTGCTGGCCAAAATGCGCGCGCTAATCTAACGGCCGGTGACTGCAAATGGCTAGGCGAGCGTGAGCGTCACGAGTCTGCCACTGGGAGCGAGCTGTACTGTCAGCAGTCTCTACAAGTGCTAGAGCGGTTCCGGACGCGTGATCATACAGTGAGACATCGTCCTTGGCAGTGATCTGTAGGAACAGGTGGAGGTCGTCGAGCCAAGCATCAAACTGAATCGGACGGCCCTCAGCATCGAAAGAGAGGACGGTGGGACTAGCCATAGTGGCAGCAGTAGCAGTAGCAGCAGTAGCAGTAGGAACAGAAGCAGTAGGAGCGGGCGGAACAGCAGTAGCAGTAGGGCAGCGCGGCTCGGACAGGGCGGCGCGGCACGGTTCGGGCAGGGCGGCTCGGCGCGGCTCGGGCAGGGCGGCGCGGCGCGGCTCGGACAGGGCTATGCGGCGCGGCTCGGACGGGCAGGGCGGCGCTACGGTGGGCCTGCGCGTGGGCTGCTGTTGCGTACGGGCCGCGGCTGCGCGTGGGCTGCAGTCGCGCGCGGGCAGCGAGCTACGCGCTGGCTGCAGCGGCCGGTGCGCAAGCAGCTGCGACGCGCGGGCTGCGCGCGGGGCCGCACGAGGACGGCGCAGGCTGTGCGCGGGCGGTGCTGGTCGTGCGTGGGCGGTTAACGGCCTACGCGCGCTAGAAACGGGCCGCGCGCGGGCGGCTAGCGGGCTGCACGCGCTAAAAACGGGCCGTGCGCGGGCGGCTAGCGAGCTGCGCACGGGCAGCGTGAGAGAGAGAGGCGCGCGAGGGCGCACTAGCAGAGAGGCGCACGAGGGCGCGAAAGTGGTAGGGCGCTCGAGGGCGCTCCTAGCAGAACGGTGGGCCCTTAGGACCAAGCGGTCCTAGGTTCCTAACCTAGGCTCGTAATACCATGTCAGAATGAACAAGATTGTTTGCACTAGGAAAGAGGTGGGTACAAGTAGGAAACCCTAAACTTACTGTACCCCATAGTAACTACCCCACTACAGCCTAAACCAACTGTAGCAGATATAACATTTGACACGCGTCCAGTCAGAATGAGCCGTCACGCCTGTGAAGTGACGTGCCAAAGCTCTGTGCACAGTCAGAGAATGCCCTCGCGCGATTCTGATTCAGGAACCTGTAGGATTTCGATTCGTTAGAATTTACGAGACTGAAATAGATTTTGGTGTGTTTAAATTGTATTTCTTTTTATATAAGCACCGGCGCTTATGGCCGTTACTCAATTACAAGACCCCCCTTAAAAAAATGAGTGTATTATAAGCGCATATGCGCTACTATCTGGGGCCAGACTATACATGATATGTGTTTCGGCCAGGCAAGATACTAAAACCTAGTGTAACCATATGAAGCAGCCTGTGAACGCAAGAATCACATCGAACTGAGGACACTCATGAGACTGGCTTAAATGTGAACCGTGACTAAACAACGACGCATGTTGTCAAACTTATATGCTATAGTCTGTGGGAGAAAGGCACCGCCCTCGCTTGGGCGCAGCCGATCTCATTGTCGACGAGAAGTTCGCGACGGATTGGTCGACAAAATGGGCTTCTGCAGTTCGACGGAAGTTGCGGTCGAGCAGGCTGTGCTCGACAAAATCCGGTCAACGAGCTCTGCGTCTGGTCGACGATCTCTGCGCGAAGAGCTCCCGTCAAAGAGCGCTGGTCGACGATCCTGGTCGAAGAACTCTGGTCGAAGAGTTCGGGTCGATGAGCGCTGCTCGGCGAACGCTGTTCAACCGAGCGGTGTCCAAAAGATCGACCAAACTTGCAGAGGTGTGCGAAACTCTGAGGAGGTGTGCGAAACTTCGCCGAGAAGGTATTGGCGAAGTTTGACCTGCGGAATGGCAGCACGTGGTCGACGGTGCGCACCTGGCGAAACAGACAACACGTATTCTACCTGGCACCTACGCAATGTGCCTGACGGTGAAACCAAATATCACAGAAAATATTCCTCACGTTGCGTCTCAAGAAGAACGTTCCTCACATTGCATCACCCATCATTCATTCCCCTCTCCCCTGCCCCACTCAAACCACGAGTCACCTTTTTCTAACCCTTCAGCTCCCCTCCCTGCCTCACCCAAAGTACCTTGTAGCTTGCCTTACTCTTTCCACTCTCTTCCCTACCTCACTCAAAGGACTGTTTACCTTGCCTAACCCCTCCCAGACTTGTCCCACATGGCCTCACTCCTTTCCCTGCCCCACCAAACACTCCAATAAATCTCATGGTCTTCTGAACTACGAGGCTAAGTAGGATGGAATCGATATAGGAGAGAACTGCCTGATGAAAATGCCTGGTCTAGAAAGGTACGGGGGCAACTCAGCAGCAGTACGGGGTAAGAATATAGTTGAAGTAGGTAACTGATCCTATCACAACTTGTTAAAGCAGGTGAAATAAAGGCGGAATAATTCCAACTTGGATTATTATGCTATGATCCAAGCGATTTGATTCTCAAGCAGCCGAGCTCCATAATGCCCATATAGTCCAATTATTTTCAGTCGTGAAAGAACTACCACCCTTCCCCCTTTCTAAGCACACATTGTTCCCATACAAGTCAACCACCCAACCCCAAACAGCACCCCGAGCACATGCAAACAGCAACAATACCTTCCTTGGTTATCAACCACTGCCCTGCTCTACTTGCGTCCGAGATTTCCAAAGAAGTTTGTGGCCTTCTCGAACCCTTGCTTCACGTCGTCCGCTGCCTTCCTGGCACCTTCCCTAACCTTCTCAAACCCCTGCTTCACCTCATTCGCTGCCTTCTTGGTATCCTCCCACCCTTTCTCCAGCTTTTCCGCTTGCTTCTTTTTGTCTTTCACCATCCTATCCCATTCCTTCTTAGAATACTTCGCAAGCTCCTTTCCAACCTCAGCGATGGCTTTCATTTCACTCGGCCCGATCTTCACCTTGACCGCCTTCCCCTTGAGCATCCGTCGGATCTCCTGCATCAGTGGTAAGATGGACGCATCTTTGACTGCCACTGGGGAGGACAGGTCGTCCGCCGCCAAGACGCCAACATCCCGCGCAGGATCAGATTCGAATATCGGCGCTGTAGCGGAGACCACATGCGCGGCGGCAATGAGCACAGAGAGCACCAGTAAGAAAACGCGAAGCACGGCCATTGTAAGCAACCACCGGATTGGATTCGAAGGAAGCAGATGGAGTGGCCTCGCAAATGAATTGTGCGGAGCTAAATAGTGCCGCGAGCTGGGGCTGGTTTACTATAGGTTGGGTGCGGTCGATGCGATTATTCGTTGCTAGAGGCTATTGGCGCGACGCGAAATCTGCCGCTGGAAACGGGATGATTGGTCGAAGCGCGTTACTTGGTGATAGGCACTGGAGCGTGTCTGGAAGTTTGCCGTCGTTCCTTGTCACTCACGCCATGGGCTAGCCCTAAGTGTTGAATTCACAGCCCAACTTCATTCTAGGACGCGTCACAATTGTCACAATCGACGGCGATCGATCGTGCCCATCACAGGTGGCGCGGCATCTGCGGGCTGCGTCTCCAATCGCATGGTCGATGCGTCATTTGACGCCATCTGACCTCGGCAATCGGAGGGATATCGATCGTGGCGAGGAGACTGGAGACACTAGACGGAAAAAATAAACGAAACTATTCCCGAATTGACGAAGTTACTGCACACCCTGTACATCGCTCACAGGGTCGGTGTGACATTTGTTACACGTCCTTAGCACTTCAGGAGGCGCGAAAGTGACCGATATTTGGTTACCAGCGCGAAGCAAGCTGGTGCCAGACATGAGGCGCGGCGAGAAACGCGGTGGGCGGAAAGTCTCGCAATCATTGCAGGAGTGGTACAAATGTAGGCCCGTGAGTTGCGGAGACGTCAATAATGATAACAAATGTCTAGCGCTTACACTCCAGCTATCTCCTCAATAGGATTAGTCAAAGAAGAGTGTGCTAAATTGCAACGTCAAATAGGTGACAAGAAATTGAAGTCTGTAATCAATAAGGGTTCCCAATTGTGCGCTTATTATTGAATTCCGGCCATAAGCGCAGTTCTTGAGATAGAATGGCATGCGCCTAACATAGGCCAGCGCTTATATCCGGGGCGGGGCCATACGGTACAGCAAACCTATTCATGATTCATTAGTAAATATAGTCACTTATAGTAAGCGCACACACACACACACACCGCCTGAACAAGCAGCCCCAGGGTTTGTACTGTCATGACTCACTATATGCATGGAGAAATTAGTGGGTTAGTGTCAAATCTGTTACGAATAGTAGTTAATGAAAAACACTGTTGCGCACTCCTCACCGTAGTAAAGCCAAAGCACGCACTATCGAGAGTGAAGACGAAAAGCCAGAAGAAAGGCGAAGGGACAGACGGTTACGAGGAGCATCTAGACCGTCGGGCAGACAGCATCAGGCAGCAGCAGTGGCGAGGATTCTGCCCGAACAGTTACGTAACCACTCGGAGTCGCACGGTTGGATTTCGATGCAATAAGGGAATGTACCCCTTAGAGTACATGGCTAGTTAGGTCGTTTCGAATTCCCCTGTACTCATATTTATATTCCTTGTACTGCACGTGTTTATTATCTCAAAGCATTTTACATTCACTCTGCTATTGAGGTCAATGGCCCACCAACATCACTTCTCTGCGTGCGAACCTTCCTGAGGTGATCCTGGTTACAATCACTTTCTGGTTTTAGCATGGTATGAGAGCGACTCAGGAATCCTTCGCACCGCCATCTCCGAAATCTGCGACATTTGGAAAGTGGCGTCCGGCACACGATCACGTGTAAGAATGGCCGGAGGATCTGGAGGTCAGACGAATCTGACGGCTGAAGCGCAGCCCAACCCGGCTGCGGCAAACGAGGAAACGACGACGATTCCTTCCGCCGTCCTCGCACAACTGCTTCGGCGACTCACGAGCCTGGAGCAAGGGCTCCAGACATTGCGGAATGGCGATGCGGGAACCTCTTCCCAACCCACTCAACCGGCCTCAAACGGCCAGAACTCTGCCCCGCAAGGCTTCTCTCTCGATACGAACGGCTCAACCCCCAAGTCTTCTTGTCCCAGCGATGAAGCAATTCTCTCTGCGCAATCAAGGTTTTTGAGCATATCAAAAATAAAGACAAGTGCGTGCTTTGACGGCAGAGACTTCTATACCTGGAGCTTTGAGCTGGAGCTGCTACTGCAAAACGCGCAGATTTATCACTATTTCGACGGAAGCTACTCGGGGCCTACGGAAGAAACTGACGACGCAAAAACCAAGTACTACAACGAGTCCCTGATGGCGTATGGGGTTCTTCTGCGGAACATGTCGCCGACGGAGCAATTGAGCATTCGCTCATACAAGACCTCCCCTGCTCCAGCCCTCAACGCCTGGCGCCACCTGAATGGCGTATACCAACCCAAGGACTCAGTGTCGTCGAGCCGCCTCCTCCAGGAGTTACTGGAAACAAGGATGGCACCAGGAGAGAAAGCCAACAGTTACCTGAATCGCTGTCGGAGTCTACGCGATCAAATCGCGAAATTGGGGAGCTCGATCTCTGAGGAGATCTTCGTGAACATCGTGCTCCAAGGGCTCGGCCCAGAGTGGCGGCCCTGCAAGGCGCTTCTCCGACAGCAGGGGGTCATCTCGGAGGCCGCCCTTTGCGCCGCCCTCCTCGTCGAACAACGGGATATGGACCAGCAGCGACCAGCGCCACGACGAGAGAGAGAACGTCTCGCATTCTACGCAGACAACACGGAAGAGCGACGACCACGGCGCCTCTACTGCAAGATCTGCAGAAATTTCGGGCACCTGGCGGATCGATGCAAGCATCGATCTCGCCCTCGCCAGACAAATCCGAGCACTTGGTCCGGCCGACAAGACGCAAGAAACGACACGCGTCCCGCCCAGGGGTCTCAACCCCCACCGCGCAACCTGAATCCAACAACTCAGCAGCAGCAGCAGCCACCACAAGCTGCCCCCGTCCGCAATGTCATGGGGAACATAACCATGACGAGCGGCTCTCGTCGCCCGCGCGCACGCTCACTCTCACCTGAGCCGGCGCCCGACCCAATCGAGGCATCTCCGAACAACAATCCATTCAGCACGCATCACGACTACATCGACGACGACAACCAGGACTGGAATCTACCAGTCCCGCTGCTTGAGAGCCCTCCGCACGTACCTGACATGCGGCCGGCACCGATCGACTGGATCGCGCGCGAACAGTTTCTGAAGGTGGACACTCCACACATCGTCACTCCGCGACTGGCGCTGCTCGCGCGAAACGACAACAGGCGCTACAACAACTGGTACCTGGACAGCTGCTGTGGGCAGCATATGGTGGGCTCCGAGCGTTACATATCCAACGCCGTCCCCACTCCCGTCGTCACTTACGTCACAGTGGCGAACAACACGCGGCTGCGCGCAAGCGCGCAAGGTATCGTGGTGCTCAAGGCACGAGGGAGCCGAACGCACATCACACTTAACGACGTGTTGATTGTGCAGAACCTGCGCTTTAATTTACTCTCGGCGGCGCAACTCCTGGATTGCGGAGTCATCCTCAGCACCGACCCCGAGACGCGCGACATCCTGCTCCACTTCACGATGCCGAACAAGAAGCGCAAGCAGATCGGAAGAACGCGCGCCGAGAACGGCGTATACGTTCTCGACTTCGACATGAAATGGACGGGAAGAAAGGGGGACACCTCCATGCTCCGCGTCTGGGGCTGCATGGTTCAATACCGACCGCCAACATCAACCATCGGGAAGTTCAAAAGCCGCGCGCGCTGGGGAATCCATCTCGGTATCAGCCACGAACACAAGGCGTGGATCATCCTGGATCTCCTAAGCCAGAAAATCAAGAATGCGCGCGATGTCATCTTCTACGAGCGACTGTTTCTGCAACAATTTCGTGACGACGAGCAGACGAATGCAAACCGCGTCTACGCCAACGAGGGCCACAGCTACGCCTCACCTGAGGACGAAGCAGCAGCAGCAATTCTGGAGCAGGATCCCAGAGGCGAGTTCACAAGGGGCGATCGCCGCGACGACGACGACGACGATGACGATGATTCAGGTGAAGGAGGAACAGGCGCAACAGGAGGAGGCGCAGCAGGAGGAAGCAGAAGCGGCGGAGACACAGCACCGCCTGAACCAGAAAGCGATGATGACGACGTGCAGGAAGTCGTCACTCAACATCGCCACGACAGCACTGTCGCCGGTCTCCAGCTACTCGGACTACACGCTGCCATCTCCACTGCTCCGCGCATCATCGAACCTAAGAACCCACGGCAAGCTCTCACAGGCACACACAGCAAGGAGTGGCGCGAAGCAATGGATGCGGAAATCCGGGCACTCGAGTCGCGCGACACCTGGGTGCTCGTCGACCGTGCAGCAATAAAGGGGAGAAGGATTCTCTCCGGCAAATGGGTCTTCCGAGTGAAGACAGGAGCCGACGGAAGGATTGAGCGATTCAAGGCACGCTGGGTGGTGCGCGGCTACGATCAAAGGCACGGGATTGATTTTGACCAGACATTCGCACCGGTCAGCCGTCACACGTCCGTCAGAATTCTCCTCGCCATCGCAGCCGCACGACACCTACCACTCCGGCAGATCGATGTGAAGAATGCGTTCCTGTACGCATTAGTGGACGCCGTGATCTACGTGGAACAGCCACACACTTACGGCGACAGAGACCCACGCGTCTGTCAGCTACGCAAGTCCCTCTATGGGATCAAACAGGCACCGAGACTCTGGCAGCAGTACCTGCACAACATACTGCTTGAAATCGGGTTCAAGCAGCTGCCTCACGATCCTGGAATGTATCGCCGCAATTTCCGCGGCGAATACATCCTCCTCACGGTCTACGTCGACGACCTTCTCTACACAGGCTCAAGCAACGAACTGCTCGAGCAATTTGAGAGAAGCCTCGCAGGGCGCATCGACATCACCTGCAATCATGACGTGAAGCAGTTTCTCGGACTCAACATCATCTACTCGCCGGAAGCCATTCATCTCTCAGCAGCGAAGTATGCGGAGGAGCTTAGCAAGCGCTTCAACATTGCGCCTGCACCACTCTCCACCCCTTACCGCACTCCAGGACCCAACCACAAGCCTGACAACAAAGCCCTGTCCCCTGCTGGGCTTCACACTTACCAGC